AGTAGTAGTAGGAGGAGGAGGAGTTGTAGTCGCCCAACCGGTATTTGTAGCAGAGTACACATGATCATGCGATAACCAAGTCAAAAGAAGTTATGCTTCTGGCCTCAAAAATAATACCACAAGTCACAAAGCCTTGCTCCTGCCATGAAGCGGCCTCCTGCTCGTCCTCGTCTAAGGGGGAATAGCCCATCTTTTGCATGTACTCCTCTAGCAGTGGGTCGTCAGCAGCCTGGAGGGGCCAAGCTCCCCATCGAAATTCGAGTGTGGATGCTTTGAATTCAATTCACAATCCGGCCGGGGCTTCTCGCAGAAACCCGGAAAAAGATCCAAGTCCTATAGTAGGCATGGTCAGACCAGTCGGTCCTACTCTGGTTCTTGCAACCCATGCCTCCTCCTCATCATCCACCACACCCCAGTCATCTTCCAGCTCGCCATCGATGTCCAGGTCGTCCCCAGCCTCCTCAATTCTTGGGCGAAAGGTTTACACTCTCGCAACTCGGACTCTCCCCGACGAGGTCTCTGTGTCCAACTACGCCTTCATGACTACTCTCTGAGTTCGCAATCACCCTTACACCACCCAAACATCACACGATGAAAGGGCCTAGTAAAAAAGCCAAAGTAATGACCAATCCCAGTGATTGCCAGGTTATTGGTACCTTGACCGTCTTTCAACAACAAGAAAATTCCGCAGCGTCAATGGGGTTTACGCTCTCGCAACTCGGACTCCGCCAGAGAAGGTTCTTTTTTCGGATTCCGACTTGTGCACCAAAGCTGCCTGGTTTTGGCTTAGCTCCGGGCTTTGGGAGGTCCTCCAATTTAGAACAGTGTTTACAACGGCTGGAGGCCGGTGCCTTGCAGCACTGCACAGTATGTTCTACGATGTGCGAGTGGACTGCGAGGCGCAAGGTCAGCCCCAAGTGGGGGTCATATAACAATGCCGAGTTGGAAAAGCGAGATGAAAACGAATGCCAATTGCACTAGCATCAGCTTGCACTCGAAGGTCTATACAAGCTTTGAGGAGCTGCTTCTCATGCATCAGGCCCGTGCGCCCCACGAGATCTCGCGCTTGATGTTCAGGCGCTGGCATCGCGCCTCCTCTGCTGCGTCGATGCTCTGTCCGTAGCCCAGCCGCTGGCAGAAGCAAGTAGTGTAGAGCAACAATCCCAGGAACGCAACTCCTGCGCTAGCCAAGAAAGGAGCAGCTGGGTGAACCTCTTCGTAGAGCAGCATGGACACCAGGCCTGCCACGAACGCACCGAACGACTCGGCATTGCGACCCAAGGTTTGCATGGCCAGGAAAGTTTCTGTAGATCCTAAGGAGTAGAAGACACTCAGGTCGTTGTTGGCTTTGATGCAGAAAGTGTATACTGTGCCCATGAGCACCTGTGCTGCAATAGAAATTGGCAGTAGGGAGTTGGTGATCCCTACATTCAAGACTGCCCAAAGGACCATCAAGCAGCTGATGTTGTAGGGCTGGCCTGTGGTCGCATGCCACAGCCAGCGCATGCCCTTTGTGTTCTTGAGGTCAACCGACTGTCGCTTCAAAGGCAAAGCAATGATGATGGCAGCGAGGAGGTCGCCACTGGTCTGGGCAATCCCAGCCCAGGTCGCTTCATCCCAACCATGGAACTCCTTGAAGAATATGGCATAGGTCATCCAAATGGTGCCATAAGAGAAGTTATTCGTGAAACCGTTCAAGAACACCATGCATGCGGGCATCCTGGCATATCTTTCGATAGCTCGACCTTGACTTTCGTGGGCTCCTCTGTGCCGGTGGCCGGCTCATTCTCTGATGGCACTGCGCAATTCAGGAGCTCATCTGGTGGAGTCGCGTGCTCGTTATCATGGGAGTAGACGCCACGAGACCAGGAAGCGTTGCTTTGTGCGGAACCGGCTCGCTGACGTCCCTGAGACCAGGAATCGTCGCTTTGTGAAGAACCTGCCCGCTGACGTGTCTCCTTCAGATCTCGAGAACTGCCACACCCCGTGTTCGGAGCTTCCTCCAAGACCTCCATACCGGCGGCATGGCTACGATGAGAATGAGGTTCAGGGATGCTGCAATGGTGTGGTACCACGCTACACCCGGCCAGCTCCACAGATCGAAGATGACTCCACCGTAGGTGGCGGAACAAGCATAGGAAACGGTGTAGCTTGCAATCATCGCAGATGCCGCTTTGCGCGCCATGGTCTCTGATTCGGAGTAGACTTCAAAACACACAGCCTCCATGAAGACATTGGTGTCAAAAAAGAGAACAGCCAGCTCTTGACCAATCAAGGCCCAAAGCTTGTCTGGGTAGATGGTAACAAGGATCGCGAGAGTCAGATGAATGGCACCCATTGGTACTGCTGTCCACAGCCCAAGCTGCAACTGAAACTGCTGGAACAAGATTCTTCCAAGTGATCCGATACTGACGACTGCCCCTGTGATCCAAAGCTCCCATCCCATCTCTCGGAAGTACAGCGAGTAGCCGGAGTAGATGAAGACATTGAGGCCCCCACCCACAATGGGGAAAGCAATGCACACGAGCACGTATCGCAAGGACCACTCGAGCTTCCTCCACAGCCCCCTTTTCCTTCTCCACCTTCTCGATCTTGTCCATGGCGTCTGGGTCAGCGGGCCTGAGGGCAGCTTGAGCCATAGTGATCCAAATTCTTTTTCAGGTACAAGTCCGGAGCACTCCGGAAAATTTTTTTGTCCAGCGAACCTGAAGATGGGCCTGGCTAGGGCTCGAGGGCTCATACATGCACGGCAGCAACATTATTACCGTCAGGTGCAGGCTTGCGCGGCCTCGATCAAGTTGAAACACGGCTTACACTGTTACACATTTCCTGACCATTCAGGCTGAAAGATTCGCAACAGCTCAGATCGGATGTCTGGAGTGACTTTGCTACTTGATGTGTGCATGCTTCGGTGGTAAAGGCGACTCTTGGATCTTGTGAGTTCCTAGCGGGAAACGATCAACTCGGGATGGCTTGGCGGATGCCTAGTTGCATCGTAGATCATCAGATCATCATATATGGAGTGCCGCCTCCGCACCCGACGGCCCCGAAATTGCCTTCGGTGCAGCACGTCGGGCCAGCGGCCGCCCCAACGCACCTCCTCGGTCTTGGAGCACAGGGGGGCAGGAGTTTGGAGCAAAACGCTCACTGCATCCAGCGAGCGTGAGCTTTAATTGCAGTTATATCCTACGGCTGGCACCAACACAAGTTCTAAGTGAACAGCACATGGATTGCTGTGCGGACGAACCATTGCTCTGTATTGTGCTGAAGCTTCTCGAAACTCTGTCTATGAGCCTTTGTACGTAGTGCTCATTTGCCCACCGCTACTCCCGGGCAAGGCAACTCTCACTGCGGCCGTGCTCGCCCTGTCAGCCTTCACGCCAATCCCAAAAAGACCCCAAACTCCGGCAATACCATCTGCAATACAATGTACTCTTGGAAAAAGCTGTCCCTCTCGCTCCTCTACACTTGGTGCTTGCTTGGCCTCAAACCGAACCAGCCTTACGAACCCAACGACTACTTCAGCATACCACACCACATGAGGCTTGGGCACCTTCCTTCAAAAAATGTTGTAACGAAATGCACAAGCAAACAATCAACAAATTTGAATGTATGCGCGCATGCCACGTGCGCGTGTATCTGTCTGTCCGTGTCTGTCTGCGTCTGTCTGTTTGGCTGTCGCATGCACGCATGTACGTATGTATGCATGTCCAAGCGCATGTAACGATGCAGCCCAAGTCAAACTGCACAAGCCGCAAACCGAGCATCATAATAACCACAAACCCTTTTTGAACGAGGTCTCTCTGAAGTGCCTCTAACACTATATAACCTCAAACCCTAAACCCTAAACCCGAAACGCCTCATATTCTACAAGCCCTGAATCTCCGGCAAGCCTCGGCTCGGCACCACCCACCCGCGGCTCCTTGGTGGCAGCAGCCTGGGAAAGGTGGCACATGGAGGCCATACTGCGTATACATATCTATTCTCGCGGGTGCACATGTATGTGTATAATGTACACACATAATCATACAGATATATACACATCTGTGTATACGCATATATATATATATGGACACACTTATATATATATATATATGTAAATATATATTAGGCTGTAGACATGCTCACCTGACTGTTGGGATCGATGTGAGGTTTGAAAGGGTTGTAACGGGAAAAGTCGCCTAGCGGATGCTTGCAAGCTTCGTGATGGGATTCGCCTGATGTTCTAGGGGCTGTTGCACCTGGGGCAGGGTGTAAAGTTGAATTCGGGAGATGGGTCCTCAGAAGACCACCCTTTGAAAGGTGAAGAGCTCAAATGGAGCGTCAGCATTCACAACCAGATAACTTCAGGGCTTCGGGGCTTCACATTACCAACTTACTTCCCCAAAAAGCCACAGAAACAACAGGTTAGACTTTCCGATGACTACTAAACTATAAGAAGCCAAAAAGTTTAAAGGTTGGGTATTAGGGAACTCAGCCAACAATCAGGTAGGCACAATACTAAGAATAAAGGTGTAACCATCCAACCGGGTAACGATGATGCCAGCATGATTCGGACAAAAGTAGCAGTAGTGAAGAGAGGCATGCAAGCAGGGCAAGGCCGAGCATTCCGAGTGTGAAACGTAACAAGCCCTAAACTCGCAAGCATAACTCGAAACCCGACAGCTGTTGGGGACCTATACCCTTTTTGCAGCTGGCCCATGTTCAGAGTAGGGCCCTAAACTGCACATCCGAAACCCGAGCCCCGGCTTCCGCCCAAGATGCCAGCAAACGATCAAACAGACCACCGCTGCCTTGATGCCAACCTGAAAACGTCACATGGGCAGAAGATCGATGCAACTGCAGTCGAAGAACAAGCTGCAGCATGAGCGACAGTGGCAGTAGCAGTAGTAGCAGTAGTAGCAGTAGTAGCAGTAGTAGTAGTAGTAGTAGTAGTCGTCGTCGTAGTAGTAGTAGTAGTAGTAGTAGTAGTAGCAGGAGCAGCAGTAGCAGTAGCAGTAGTAGTAGCATTGGTAGTAGTAGTAGTAGT